AGAACGGTACAGTTACATCACATTTAGGTCGAGTAATGAAAGGCTTGAGTTCCCCTTACTCTTCTGATGTTGTTTAATGTAAAAACATTCTAAAAGTATTCTTAGAGTTTTTTTTTTATTATGAAATTTAAGCGCGTTTAACCACAATCGCACATGACGTTTACTGATGAGATGGTCCAATATGAAGCACACAAACTCAAATTATATCTATTGACGACCATAAATTATGTCTTGAAAGATAACAGGTTATATTCGTATGAGTCGGGTAACACAGACGTCGGTTGATTTTTTTCTGTATAAAAAAGGAAAATAACCTATGCAGATGTCATAGCTGTAAAATGATTTTTTAAAGATCGTTGTATAAAGCGTACGCTTTATTGTGATGTTGATTTTATGTAAGCGAGATTATAATGTCAGCATGTGCGGAAGCGCGCACGGCTGAGCGGCCAGGAAGTGGATCGGGCCAGGGGCGCAGTCTCTTTCTCATATATTAATATGGGCCATGCAGCCAAATTATTGCATTAATTATAATAATTGGAATTTTAACACTATCCTATCTGTATCACATCTCTAAAAGTGAGGTATAAGTAAACAGATGCAATGATGTATCAGTTATGATGCGTTTTTATATTTTTGTAACCTGATATGATAGATAATAATCGGTCTCATAAACTGTTTTTTGGCTTTCTGTGTTTAAGTTATAAAATAAATAGCTTGAACTGTTGTTAATCGATTTGAAAATGTAGGAGGGTTGCAGTTAGACTGTATTTTATGCGTATATTATGAGATATATTCGTCAATTATGAACACATTTGAAACATCTTATTATTACATGTTATCTTCATTCAAAAAGAAAAAAAAATCTGTACTTAGCAAAATATTGATGATATCTCTGCTATTGCGTCGTTATTGAAATTATTTAATTTGGTGAATAAGCATTGTGAGTCACTCATTACATATACCTCAGGTATATGTAACTAATTATTGTATATCGGCTTACATAAGTGATTTTAACTTCAAGTTGTCCAACTAGATTCGGAGCTCTTATTTATTAGCAACTTCGAAGTTAAAATCTAGAGAAAAACTATTAAAAAGTAGAGTATGTTTGTTACTCAACCATGCTTAAACGGCTGAATGGATTAAAATGAAATTTGACCAATAGGTAGGTTATATCCTAACTTAACACATAGGATACATAAGTATATACTGATACACGCGGATGAATCCATGAGAGATAGCTATCTGAAAATTTGTTTAATTTGCATTTTAAATTGGTAGGTATTTTACTTGATTTGTAGTAGGTACCTAGTTATACAAAAAGATGCTAATTATTCTAAATTTTTTTTTATTTAAATAATATTGTAGTCATGTTAATGATGTTTTGATAAGTTTATTTGAATTTGATTCCTATATTAGATTTACCTATTATCAGATATTCATGCTATACGATTGTTCTGTTTCTTCAATTGTCATGGCAGGTATGCTCCGCCATGTGTGCCTGTACGATGACCCAGAATACGCATAGGTCAAGGACCGGATAGACAGACCGATAGCGTACTGTATAACAGCAAACAAGCGTGTACTGTAGGTTACCTATCCACAGGTTATTTTTTCGCATAATTATACCCAGCGCAATGCTTGTTGTAGTGATAAATGTTAAAACGAACAATACCAATTTAGATCGCAATGTTTGTATGGTTCTAAATAAATATTGGCGTATATTTATTTAAACGGTAGGTATTACTCTCAATACATTTAACTACCTACCAGTAGGTACAACTAGGATAATTTAAAATTTTACTTTGTAAAAAACTGAGCGTTCAAGCGTACAGTCCTGACTAAATATCCCTATATAAATTACGAAGGAATTAATTAGGTACCATAGAAAAAAGTACTAAGAATTAATCTCTTATTTACGGTTTAATAATTTATTCAGAATTGTAAAAGATATTGCGTAAAATAGATACGTACATTAAATACATGGCAAAATTCTCTTTTTTTTTTCCAATAATGCGTGTTGACGTGTACAGAAAGTTGTATTTAAACTTCTTGAGGACTGCGTCGAATAAAACCCGAATAAGAAAATTATTATTTCTGTAAACAATAACAATCTGGTATATAATTTTTTATATCTCTACCATAAGAATATTAATTATTTCTTCTTATCTCATCATATGAATAAAATAAGAATTCTGTAGGTACATAAGTAATTACTATTTTTATGTTTCTAGTTTATTAAGTTACATTTAAGATATTGATTACAAGATTATAATAGGTGAAACATCGAAAGATCCGTTTTATTGCTTGAACTACTTTACCTTTCTAAGACTCTGCATTGAACTAAACATAGGCCTCAGCTTTTGAAGGTTTTGTCAATAGTTGCCACGTTTGGTAGGCGGATTGGCAACCGCAGTTAGGTTTTAGTGATGATTTAAAAGGGATGCTGCTGCCCATCCCTCGACCATTAAGTTCGCTAACTTCTTACGAACATCGACGCAAAAAGAAGGGGGTGGCTCATTCCATGCCGGGACCACACGGCTACATTGGTAATACAGTATAGTAATAAATATGAATACAGTGTCTTACTGAAATAAATAGGATGAATAAATATTTTGTAAATTGTAACGAATAGTCTGACTGTTCATCTGATGAAAAGTTTAATGAAAATGATGAAAGAGCGCCTTCGTTCGCGATAATGTGAACTGTTTATTTTTTTGCTTCATTACACGTACTTCTCTGTGGTAGAACCAAGTGGATATTACCAAAACTTCTTGTTAAATGAACAAACTTTTAACTGCTGTATGCTGTCGTCAATTGCACAATCGTAACTGAGACAAATCTAATGAGTTGCGTTTTATTGTACCTTTTAGGATTTTACTCATTACGCTAAATATCTGGACATTGAATCTGGATTTTTAATTCCTACACCACATCAACATTACCTTTCTTCTTTGGTATACGGATTGAAAAACACATACAAATATAATAAATAATAATTTAGGTATTTATTAATTCAATTTGTGTGTCTTATCAATGTAGAGTAGAATTACTAATTTTAAACAAATAATACTACTGAATATGTATAGACTGATTTATGGTGTTGGGGGAAAAGTATTGTTAGTAATGCAGTCTTTCGATAGCGGCTCGATTACTAGCAATATCCTCTATCCGGTTTCCCCTGGAAACCATCGCGGTAGTAATAATTCCTGATATTTACAGGACCTATTTGGCCTACCGTGATGAGAATTGATGACCTGACTTCAACCTCACCTCTTAACACTCACTGATATTCTGCCAGTGTATACCAACAGCACTTGTTGATTTATGTTTTTTTATAAAAAAAAATTAAGATGAAAATGTAATAAAAATATTAAAAAAATCAATATCAGTAAATATTGATATTTAATTCTTGTTGATCAAACTTCAAACGCTTTCATAAAGTTAATATTTATTCCAATATTGCTTATTTTTATAGCCTAAGCTTATGACGTTACGTACCTGTTTAATAAATTACACGAGTAACGCACTCATTGGAATATTGGCAATAATAAATTATACTTCACGAATTACCAAACCAATCAATAGATATTATTTTTTCAGATATTTATAATGATATGGGCATAAACGTAATTTTAAATTTTAATAAGTACAAAATTCAAAATTCCTAAAATGCCACTAACAATTTATCTTTCTACAGGTAACTAAATATTTATAATAAGCTAGCAGTTTTACGCAGCTTTGTCCGCGTGATTCAGTATATAAACTGTCCTATGTATTGAGTTAGGATATAACACATCCGTATACCAAATTTTATTAAAATTCAGTCGTTTAGTTAGTGATTGAATAACAAACATATAAACATTTTAAAAAACTTTCATATTTTAAAAAACTTTCATATTAGTAAGCAGAAAATAGATAATAATCATAGTATTAGGTACCTAATTAAGTTATGTGAGAATGACGCACTTGCATGCCTTTATTTTTGTTGTTATCTATAATATTATATTGACTCTGTATAGAATGAGCTGTAGTTGAAAAAAATTTTACTTATATGTAACATTGTCAGTACAGATAAGAGATTATAGTCTTTCTTGATAATTATGATTTTATTGCGTTTTGGTGTTCAGGCTGCAATTAGTTACATATTAAAAATTGATGTCAAATGGCTGTTTGTTACTTACCTCATCACGAGAAAGTTCATGGTAAGAGAACTGGCTTCGGCATGGCTTAGAAAGTGCGGGTTCAAATCCCGCTTACTTTGAAATATTTCAATTACTTAAAAATTTGTGGGATATGATTTTTATATTTTAAAAATATTTATAATTATCTAGTAAATTGCCAAGTGTCAAATCATAAATAAAAATGTTCAACTGAAAGGATTTCAACGAAATTTAATAATAGTTAAGCATTATTCTCTTTTTTAAAATAGTTTATTTCTGTTTTATTAAAATCGGTGGAATAGTATATGAAATACCGCTTGATTCCTACTTTGTATTAAGTTGCAGAGAATATCAATGTCTTTTTTTATTTAGTTATGTTTACGAAAAGAACCCTTAATTGGTGTTAATATTAAATAAACAAGTTGTGTCTTTATAAAATTAAGTTATTTCGAATTTCATCTGGTTGGAATAGCAAGCATAATTTAAAAAAAAAACAGATATTGTTGGTTATTGACACCTTGAACCTAAAGTGAATTCGAGGTCGCTGAAGGCATTGGCCATAATTTAATAAGACGTCTTAGATTTAGGTATTAGTAGTATTATATTATCTGTGGTATTAGTGTCTACTTTAGTTTTGTAATCAAAAATAATAGCGTTAATGGTAGATAACAATAAAGAGATCGCTGACTGGTAAAGAAAGATTTTCTTAGTCACGCGATATTTAGGCGTAGGTAGTTAATTAGTTTTATGCTAATTATATGTTTAGGTTTTATAGGCAGTTCGTTATATATTATCTATAGTATGATTAAACTACAATTTATTATTTTTGTATGGTTTCAGATACTGTTTTGCACTCTGAATACCCACAAAGTGGACATGAGAAAACTCCTTGGAGGACAAATAGGATTAGAAGATTTTATATTTGCACATAGAAAAGGCAGACCAAAGGAAATAGAGATTGTCAAAACAGAAGATGCTCTTGGGTTAACAATTACTGATAACGCTGCAGGTTATGCATTTATTAAAAAAATTAAAGAAGGTTCAATAGCTTCCAAAATAAGTCATATAGAGGTATGTAGAAATTGTCACATATTTTATTAAGCTGTGCATACCTACTTACACCATTATCAATGAATATCATGTGCATATACCTAATAGTTAATAAGAGTATGTTCACAAATGTGTAATATTTTATAAACGATGTGATTCAAACAAACTGATAACCTACACGATGGAGAGCGATAACCGTTACATATACCTAAAGATATAATCGAAGCCTAAAAGTGAATACTATCATAAGCATAGCAAACATAATGGAATACATTATTATGTCTATGGTTATTTCACATGAATTGCTATTCCTGTGAATTAAGGTGTTATGCCTCCAAATATTGTAATTTTGCTGTCATTCAATTCATAACTTAAGGTTGTAGACTGTATAGAGTGTAAAGCTTCTGTTTACTACCTGATTGTCGAATACAGTTTTTAATTAGGTAATTTGATTAATAAGAAGTTTAATTGCAAGAACATCTATAGATATATTTTTTAAAGGAGAACATTAAATATTTTTACTTAAGTTCTATATTATTTCTAAGATATGGTTCACATGTGTATATAAAAGAAAGAAAGAAAGGAAGAAAAAGAAAAACGTTTTTTGCCAATAACAACAATAATTATACTTATTAATAATAGAAAACAAACTCCATATTTGTTATTGCCAACGCGGCTACCACTCAGCATGTGCTGAAGCAAATTAATTGTAACAACGCTCATATTTTGTTATAGCTACGCATGATAAACGGTTAAATACGTATAAATATCAGTAATTTATATATGTTTAATCGTGATTTAATAATATATAAATTAAGTAATAAAATATCTAAATATCTATAAAACTTTTATAGGTATATAAAATACGAGTATTGGTACACTTAGTAAGATAATAGGATAAACTAATTGGTACATACAAAATATTGACTAGTTGTTCTGATATGAATTGTTTTTATAGGTAGGCTGTTATACACTTATTTATCTAGATCAGTAAATGTTGCTCTTAACAGTTGAAAAATAAGAAGTCACGACATCAATCCGGCTATTCACCTCGTCAAGAAAATAAAATTAAACCGGAAACAAACTATTATGTGATTAAATCATTCACTTTAATGCAGGTCGGCGATCATATTGAGAAGCTGAACGGAGAGAACATGGTTGGAAAGAGGCATTATGAAGTCGCTAAAATATTGAAGGATATTCCCAAAGGAACGACATTTATAATTCGATTAATAGCACCACTCAAGAGTGGGTTTGGGTCCATAGGTCCTCCTAACAGAGGTGGCGCCAAATCGGGTAAAAAGCAAAGTTATGGATCCGGAAAGGAAACTTTAAGATTTAAGGCTAATGGGCCAGCTACGATTGAAAACGAGGTAATTATTCAAATAGACAAAAATAATAAGTTTTGAAATATTTGTTAATCTTTTATAAGATGTGATAAAGCATGCGTGTCAAGCGCAAATAATGGAAAAGTTTGAAGTATGTGTTTTGTTGACCCAAATAAGTTGGGAGAAGGCTAGCAATCTTACTAACTACAGAAATACAATTAGGTTAAATACGTACCTCTCCTATCAGTCGGAAGTTCTTCCCAGGCAATATATCTTATCTCTTTTGACATTTGTGGTATTGTTTGTGTTTACTATTTCAACTAATATACTTAGTTAATACTTGTATATTAACATACGTGTTAATAATGAGTTATTTTTAGTGACATTATATAATTCTTGTATTATGTATAATGTATTATAATTATTATTTGTGTACATTACTCTCTTATTTTTTTATAAAACAAAATTCAGCAGTGAACAAGTTTTGTTTTATAAAAAAAATCAATCGTGATAAAATTACTTTTGAACCAACTGTAAAGTAAATCCTATTTAATAAAAACGATCAAAAAATCGGCTGAAAATACGGACTATCTATCGTATTGCTTATCAGTACTACGTATACGGATAACAGTCTAGATTAAAAAATAAAATAAACCAAACCAACAATAACTTTTAGCAATATTAAATTAATTAAAAAAAATTGTTTCAGCATGATGAAAATTCAAAGGCCGGGATTGAAAAAATAAATCAACTATTGGAGACATTTATGGGCATTAACGACACGGAGTTGGCGACACAAATGTGGGATCTTGCCGATGGGAAAACTAATTCGATGCAACTGGCTGAAGCGATTGACAATAGTGATCTTCAGGAATTTGGTTTCACTGACGAGTTTATTATTGAATTGTGGGGTGTCATTACAGACGCGAGATCAGGGAGACTGAGCTAGGATTTATATTATAGGTACTTAATTAACAAGAAAACGGCCATATTGAATTTGGAATTGTAATAGCAGAATGTGAAATTTGAATGTTCCATATTGCTCGGTCTGAAAATGAGACATATCAGTGGACGCGCATTAATTGTGTGGATGATTTTTAAAAAATTCCCCTCTCTTCTTACGTATGATATTATATAATTTTTTTTTCTTGGTGAAAAGATCGTGATTTACCAGAATGAAGTAACAATTTTCCATTCTATTGGATTACTAATAAGATTTTATACTGATGTCTGTTACGTACTACTTTTTAACCTTCCTTAAAAATGATATTTAGTAAAATATTATTTTTCTCCATGATTAATACACGTCCCCTCATAACTTAAATAATAAAATGAGATTAGGTAGACAACTACGTAGGTAGTATTATTTATTATTAAACTAAATATAGCTATTGCGGCCTAGATATGCAGATATATTTTGAAATGACTTTGATTCCATGATGATGATATTTGTATGATAATACCTAATAGTCGAAGTAGAATTTTCCTGTATTTTTATTGTTATTCATAAAATTGTGTTTATTACCATATACAAAATTAGATGGATCTAAGGTATTGACATATTTTAATTTTTTTTTGACCACCTATACGAACGACTCCAGAAACTTGTTTTTATATAAGTAAATTTATAAGTATTATATTTTACGTGTTTTACTGATTCCTATTTAATACATTTCCATAGACGTGTGTTACAAAACAGTTATGTAAAATAGTATGTACATAAGTAGGTATCTATGGACAGTTGTGAATATTTTGTCGTTTCGGGCAAAAACTAATGTTTGCCGCTCTTTATAATAAATGACAATACTGATTAACAGTGAATTAATTTGAGCATTTATCCAGTTGATACTCCCTATATTAGGTTGTATGTACTAATTACTTATTCACTTGGTATGCCATTATATCATTATTACCTATACGTAGTTAATGGAATTTTCATTATTATTGTACCTACTCTCACAGTAATTAATGAAACATTTACACATTAAAAACATTAAGTAACTTAGTATTAAATTTTCATATTAAAATTTATTTATAGAGAAAGTCGTGAGATTTTTATTAAACAAACAGCTTTAGCTACAGTTTTATATTAAATATATATTGATTTTTGATGCCTTTAAAAATAAAATAAATAAGAACAGTCTCTACAAATCAAGGAGATATCGAGTAAAAAAACTTTTAAGATAAAAATTTGTAACAGCCCATTTTTTGTCTAGCGTATGATCGTGAACTTTATGATAGACCGCATAAGAGTAAACAAATTTTTATTACTATTACAATTTAATAAATTCAGATATATATCCAGATACATTTGTTAAGAATATTTTAGGTATGATTGGTTATATCCTGTATCTAACACTTTCTATGCCCAATTTTAGGTTAATACTCGTATTAAAAATTAACTCACTAATTTTAAATTAAATAAATAAATAAAAAATAAATTTCTATGAGAAAATAATTTAAACAACATTAACTTATTAATAGAAATTGAAAAAAAAATTGTTAATCCTTGTATTGAAATAATTTAAGAACGTGTTCCACAAAGAAATTGACTTCAATTGTGGCAAAACAAGTTTTTTTAATTTAAAAACTAAATTAAACCGAAAAAATATAAAATTTCTATGGAACCAATCTGTAAGTATATCTTTAGATAGATTCTAAACGGAGGAAACTAAAGATAAAAACAAGATGCAAAAGGAGCATTCGCATATTAAAATTTAAATTATAAAGTATGTACACAAAATTATTTGAATGTAAGGCTACATTGTATGATACATACGCATGTGGATTGATGTAAGTTCGTAGTGAACATAAACGCGAATGAAATTCAGTAATGGAATGTATTTTGTTATATCCAAATTTCAAATCTATGGTGCCGTTCAGTTTACATTTTTATGTGCGATTCATGTTTATATCTATATTATATTCTAAAGTCTACATAAATAACGCAATTTTTTTGTGATATTGTGATAGTTTTAGTAAAAGTAATTTCTAGCAACTAATGCCGCGGAAACTACTTACTATATTATAAACGTGTCTGCAAATTGTGCTTGGCCTAGTTTTTATGCACAGTCATTAGTAATAGGTATAGATAACTAAGTACATAGAAAGTATATTTTAACTTTTTTAAATTATTTATTTTAAGATTTTTGGTTTCATAGTTATATGAAACCAAAAATCTTTTAATTTATCCACTATACACATAATAAGCGTAATACCTGTACTATATAGTATATATATAGAATATAGCTTTACATAGGCGATACAGTATTTATAAAGACAAAAAATACTATTATCTTTTATTTTACGTCTTTAAGTTTTGGATTAGGTGTTATATGCAAATAAGCATCTAATATATTAGTCATAACATACTTTTTATTAGTAATGGGAAGATTGTTAACAAAATATTTGTACCTTTACGCTCTCCTCCTTATAAACTATCGTGGACAATTCTGTTATTTATTGTGATCTTTATAATGAAGCTCCCGAGTTAACAAGTTCTAGTAGATCCTATTACGACTGGAATGGTGGTTTATTTTGTAGATACTGCATCTGTAGCATGGATAGAGTCAGAGATACGGGAAAAATTTTATTTATTTAAAATGCAGGCCGCAGTGCGTGGGTTTTTTCTTAATATCATAGATTCGAGCTAAGCATCTAATCTTCAACAACGACGATATCATAACCTTCAAGAGCATATTCCTTTTTAAAAGGCCGGCAGCACACCTGTAATGCCGTTGGTGTTGTGGGTGATCACGGGCGGCGGTAGTCATTTACCATCAGGTGAGCCGCATGCCCATTTGCCCCCTGTGTTGTAAAAAAAAATCTGGTACGTATTATACATAAAAAAATAATAACTCTCTTTAAAAACCAGCCCAATTTAAGATCTGATTTGCAAAGATATCGCATAACATGCCTACTACTAGATACTGGGGTGAAGGAATTGTTAATAACGGAGACTAAATTTACTGGGTACGGAGGAATAACACCTGAGTCCTCAGGAATGGCAACGCATGGGGGGTATCATGGGCGGAACAGTATACTCTGTTATGTCCATGGTACTGCTCATGTCTATAGGCGACGGTTACCACTTTCCACCAGGTGGACCGTCAGCTTGTTTGCCATTCTAAGTAGTATAAAAAAAAAAAAAAAAAAGACTAATATCTCCATTGCTTAGAATATATACACTGAGGTTGACCTCCACGTGGTTCTCCCTGTAAACCACTGTGATTAATTTTTAATGTGCCACGATGGGCCAACTGATCATAATCTATCTTCATCGGTCACTAGTACCTCGACAACGTAATCCGATAGGGGGGGGAAGGGATTGTTAGCAATGAGGGATTGTTAGAGTTTGATAGCTCCATTGCTAGCAATATGTCAGGTCGACCTCCACGTGGTTCCCCCTAGAAACCATCGTGATTAATTTATAGTTAGATTCGTCACGATGGGCTATCTGACCTGCTTCATCCTTACCTATTATCCCTCACTGGTGCCCCGCTAGTGTATACCGATAGCGCAGGCGGGGTTACCATTTCATTATCATCCATTAAAAATAAAAAATAAAAAACGTAGCGCCAGCGGAGTTACTATTCAAAAACTGGGGTGGGGCTGTTAGTAAAGGAGACTCATGGATGATGGCAATATACGAGGTCTGTCCGGAAAGTTCGTATAAAAGTGTTCTGGAATGCGAGAAAGAGGAGTTAAGCGCAGGACCCCTTCCTTATGTCCCTAACAATGCTTCAGTTCTGGTCTGACCGCCGTGCGGTGCGAACTGGCTTGTCACGCCATCTGTGAAGTTACCTCTTACCCCGTCGGCAAGCCCGCTTCCGTTGAAGAGCAGCGCGTCGTAATCAAGTTTCTCTCGAAACTCGGCAAGAATGGCCGTGAAATTTTTGCCGATCTCAGAACAGTTTATGGGGATGATGCTGTGAAGGAACCAACCGTTCACAAGTGGCTAAAAAGATTCAGAGAGGGCCGAGACAATGTTGATTGTTTTTTTCGATGTTCGGGGGATTGTCCATCAAGAATTCGTCCCTCCAGGCCAGACAGTTGATGGAAAATTCTACGTCGATGTGCTCAGACGCCTCAAAGCTCGTGTGGCACGAGTTCGTCCAGAATTGGCGCGAGAGGGCGTTGGATTCTTCACCACGACAATGCCCCTGCCCACACCTCTCTTGTTGTCCGTGAGTTTTTGAGTAAAAATTCCATTACGGTGACCGAACACCCCCCCTATTCGCCGGATTTGGCCCCGTGTGACTTCTTCTTGTTCCCAAAAACCAAATTGGTACTTCGGGGGCGGCATTTGGGGGACATAAATGAGATAAAAAAAGCTACGACGGGGCAGCTGAGAAACCTACAACCAGAGGACAGCCTTCTCACAGTGGAAACGGCGTTGGCACAAGTGCATTATGTCACAGGGGGAGTACTTTGAAGGGGATAAAATTGGATTTACCTGAATAATTGTAAAATAAAATTTTTACAAAACTTTTATACGTAATTTCCGGACAAACCTCGTACGCTGTACGGTGAACCTCCGCACGGTTCCCCCTAGAAATGATCGTAGTTAATTCCTAGCGAATTAATCATGATGAATCAGCTGACCTCACTTCAATCTTATTTGTCATGCTCTACTAGTTTCTCAGTTTCATGTTAAAAACCAGTCAGTTTAAACAGATAGTGCAGCAACAATTTAAAATACAAATACCATTCTCAGTAATCGATTAAGTTTTCATAGTTTTTCATTTGGAAGTACCTAGGTAACTCGTTACTTATCATTACCATCTTTGTTATACTTAGGCTGTGCTTGTTTTAGATTCATCATAGGTTTAGGTATATCATCACTGTCATACACAAATTCTTTCAGTACTAAATAAGCAATGACTGACCATATACATACTTACAATATTTCTGAAATACCATCTGTATTACGAATATATCTTTTTTTCAATTAAATTTGATTATTTTTAATTCAAAAGTTGCTTCACTGAAACTGGTAATAACCACTGAGTGTTGCGTTATATTGCGACTAGCGAGTTATCATTATTCAAGTTTATTCAAGATATATATATATATATATATATATATATATATATATATATATATATATGTATAGTAAGGTGAATGAGCCGATCGTTGTACTAACAGATGTTCAAAGAAGTCTAGGCGAGTACTAATTACCTAATAGTCTACTATCATAGGTTGGTCCAGTTCGATATTGCCAAGTTTTTAGCGTTCTATACCAAAAAAGTATAAAGGAACCCTTATGACGACTTTGTCGGCCCGTTTGTCACAGTGTTATATCTCAGCAATTACCTACTAGTCCTGTTGATTTAAAATTTGAAATAGGTTTACATATCATTGGTCCGTACATATTGAAATGGAAATAATTGAGAAAATATTTTTAATTTCTTTATTAGGGAGTCCGAAATGGATGCTCGAAATTTCCAAGTGGGGTATAATATGAACGGCTACATTTGTACATTTTAAAACTGATTTTATTTATTTTCATGCTGCATAGTTTTTTTTAGTTATGATCCAAAATGTAAGAACAAAAACCATTCCCCGAAGTTTGTAAGAAAAAAATCTGAAATAATTATATTTTATAAAGGTACATATTATAGGAAAAATAAAAAGATGTCTCTAATTAGCACTGTTGTTTTAAAAATATCTAAAAATCTTCAAAAACAAACTTTTTGCGATAGGGTTTCACATTTACAACTTAAATAAGAAAATACTCCATTTGCTGTAGATTTAAAATTCAAGAACATATTCCTTATCATCTCTTCATCATGTATCGGGATCCTTGGTGTCGATATCATTAGTTACTTACAGTTTTGTGGCCACTTCGAAGATAAAGTGGAACTGGTATCCAAAAAATCCGGTATGCTTAGATCTTAATAGGGAGAAGTAATATGAAATATTACTTCTCTCTATTAAGCCAGACAAACAATTATTGCTCTATAAGGCGCAAATTTGGTCTTACATGGAATATTATTGTCACTTATGGGCGGAAGTATCTAGATACCAGCTTGAATCCTTCGTCTTAGTGCAACAACGTGCTATGCGTATAGCGCGGTTTCAGAGCTGCTTCCTCCCTCAAGCGCTCTGGTTACGGAATATGTTCTCTATCGAGGTTTTTCCAAGAGACAGCGTGAGGTTCTTAAAAAATTGGGTAACTTTTATTCATTTGAATTTGGGAAATCTGGTCTGCTCACACTTTTCTATTCTTTATGAGATGTTTTGACCTTTTACAATTAATCTAATGAAAAATAATGAATGGTAACCCCGCCTACGTTAACGGTGTACGCTAGCGGGCACTAGTGAGGGATGATAGGTGAGGATAAAAGGGCAGGTCAGGGCCATCGTGATGAATTGGAATTGAACGCGATGGTTTTCAGGGGAAACCGCAAGGAGGTCGACCTGACAGGGTGTATTGTTAGCAATGGGTTTATTAATCCCCATTATTAACAATCGCTTCTTCCTCCTCTCCTCCATTCTCTAGTTAATTTTTCTAAAATATCAGACATTCGAGCACAGTTGATTCATGTCAGACACGGAAGTGTACAGGAGTTCTTGTGCAGATCATTGTGCAGTTTGTTTCCTATTGAAAGGGTCACGTGTCCGCTCGCAGCGTTGCGAATAGTCTTGTGTTCAGTTAAAACGGAAACTATTCAAGCGATATTATGTATTTATCAAATATTGGCAAAGTTTAAAATGCTTTGAAACTTAAATTGCTTGCTGCTGCCACTTAAGTGTATTTTGAGTATTAAGAGTTCAATCAATCGTGATGAAAATACATGTTGTGCTCTTCGATTTATCGTTGTACTATATTTAGGATAGAAAAGAATTTAGGTTATTTTTATGCTCGTCAATTAATATATTCAATGGTACACGGACGAAGCGGCGGACGGTGCGAGTGACTATTTATTGACGATTTAAAATTACAAATATTTAATTTTAATTTTTTCAATATTCAAGTGACATGACGATATTTGGGATATTTACCTAATTAAAATGTAAATAACTTGGAATATTACGTTGATATGTAAATAACAGGGGCCAGTTGACCTCGTGAATCGCAAGACAAACAACATCTCTAATAATTGTATTCTTATCATTTTATCGTGGTTGTTAACAGTTGTTACACCGAGTTTTTGTGTACTTACAAATTCTCTAAAATCGAGCAGTATTTGTAAATGTGTTCTACTATTTTGACAATCAGCTGATTTGATGACATTCGGCGTCAAAAAAATTCTTTCATTTCATTTAAGTTCAAAACTAATTTATCTAAATTAGTATACTGTATAGTTGAAATTAAATATTGTTTACTTTTATAGATATCTTTGTTTAAATATTATGCGGCAGTGGCGTAGTGTCTTTTCTCTACAGTTTATTTAAATATCTTTTAAAAATAAGAATTTTAATAGTATTTGTATTATATATCTTTGTTACATTAAATACTGTACCTAATTGAGGAAAAACTTAAAGGAATAAGTACAGATATAAATCATAATTATGTCTACTTTTATTGTTAAGTTAAATAGTTATTCACAAATCAAATTATGCTATAGTTTTTCTAAGGTGAGTTTTCTAAATAATTATAATATGTATGTGGTAAATTTTATGTATTACGCTTATTATTCTTAATATAAATAATATTAAGCAATATTGAAACCTCTAAGTAATATAAATTATAATTTATATGTAATATTTCCCAGATATTATTATGTGCTAATTATAGCACATTAAAAAGTACCAATAAAATCTTTAATAATGCTAAAGAAGCAATTGCTGATATTAAAGATGGATCAAAGCTTTTGGTTGGTGGTTTTGGATTATGTGGTATTCCAGAGAATTTAATAAAAGCTCTGAATGCAAGTAATGTGTCTAGTCTTACGGTAGTTTCCAATAATGCTGGTAAGTATTTTTTAAGTCTTAAATCTTTGAACTTTTGATATAATTGATAATATGATTAAAATTATTTAAAAGTAAGAACTTAATAATAACTCCACAATAGAGTGACAGCTTCATTATGTTGCAAGGAATCAGTAGATGCAAGTAGTTCAGGACTATTACTTACTTATCAATTTAAGGGGGTACTTATGTTATTCAGTGGATAATAAATTAATAGAAATACAAAATTTTTCATAATAATATCATGAACATATATGAAAATTTAAATTTCATTATTACTTTGTGATGGTAAAATTATATGATATTGTGCTATGCTATTGTAAATTATAAATGTACCCATGTGTACCCATCATTTTAATTATTATGTAAATATTTTTTCCAGGTGTTGATAATTTTGGCCTGGGTATTTTACTTAAGAGTAAACAGATTAAAAGAATGATTGCCTCTTATGTTGGAGAAAATGCTGAATTTGAGAGACAATTCTTAAATGGGGAATTAGAGGTAAGCACTTAAATAATATGCATGTTTGTATATTATATTACAGATGTGTATTTAATGAAGAGATGAGACAGACATAAGATTTAGATACAACATAGATACAGTTATAACAATAAAAGTTTATTTTATCATAATACTTCCTGAAAAAGTTAGTTTTCCCTTTACCCTTTTAAACTTATATACATTGTTTAGCTCTAGTATGTAATAAATATGCTTATTTATCATTTATTTTGAACTCTTCCACATGGCTAGAATAGGTTCATTGACCAGGATAAAAAGTAATCTATGTCCTTCAGTATCCCATATAGTATGTGTATACCAAATTTAATAACATTTTATATCATTGGTTAAGGACAAATTCACTTTCACAGTTATAATATTTGTAAGGATTATTAAAGCAAAATAATGATGTAGGAATATTATATAAAGCTAATGATTTCTAAAACAGTGTATTTACATGAAAAATTAACTTTTTAGGTAGAATTAACTCCACAAGGAACATTGGCAGAACGACTCAGAGCAGGTGGTGCTGGAATACCAGCATTTTTTACACCTACAGGTTTTGGTACATTAATTCATGAAGGTGGATCACCTATTAAGTACACTAAAGAGGGAAAAGTAAGTGTTAAATAGTTTCATAAATTATCACAGGGTCAAAATTTTGTGTGATTTGCTGGAAATATAAATTCCATAAATAAAAATAAACATAAAATGTTAGAATTAATAAGACATATTGTAATAATATTATCTGATGGATTTGTTATTTATATACTAAAGGAAAAAATTATGGGATCAAAAAGCAATTTCTAATTTTTAGGTGATTTTCAATAGGCTGTAACTTGGAGAAAAATAATTGTAGAGACATTTTAAAAAAAGCAAATTGTAGCTCTAAGTGACTAGTTTTTGGGTCTAAATTCAAAAAATTTTTCTTTCAATTTTTTTTCAGGTGATTTAAAAAAATCACCTAATAATAATATGGACCAGATAACTTGTTTATTCAGCTTCAAATTACTTTTTTAAATCCTCAATACAATCATTTCATGCGGAGCTATCGGTCTTTGAATGAAAAAGGATCATTTTGTCTTTGATTAACAACATCTCTGCAACTAATGTATCAAATTGGTTGGGAGCAAACCTACTTACTTTAAACACTGCAAAATCTAAATATGTTTGAAGCTTCTAGGTCATTATCCTTGATTATCCATAAATATTCATGTGATAATAACAAAATCTGCAGTTGTGATTTCCTTGATACTTGAAATAATAATCTTGGAAATTATACCTATAAGGATGAGCCATTGTTTTTTTCATCATATATGATTGCATATTTTGGAAAATGCAACAAAAATAGTAATGATGCTTTTCATACTGCATTTGCAAAGCGCTTTAGTTATTATTCGTGCCCATTTATATATAAAAAACTTAATAATCTCTGGGATTTTTGCTAAAAGTAAAGTGTAAGAATTAATATTATATACCATTTATTGATACGTATATAATTTGTCTTTAGTATATTTAATTGTATGTATTTATTTTTTTTAGTATTTATATAAATGTCTCTACAAACTTTTTTTTTGATACCATATGGACTCCCGCGATACAGGTTCTCCTAGTGCGGGGTCCAATGTACTCGCTGTTGTAATTTTTTTTTTTTTTTTATTAAAAAAATAAAATTTGTTTTTAATTAAAAAAAAAAAAAAAAAAAAAAAAAAAAAAAAAAAAAAAAAAAAAAAAAAAAAAAAAATAAAAAAAAAAAAAAAAAAAAAAAAAAAATTCCATTACAATGCCATATATATGAGAATAAAATATGTTGATCTGCAACAAAAAAATTGATATGTAGTTAAATTTTTTTTTGATACCTTAATTTTTTTTAGATTGATATATGTAGTTACATTTTTAGGATATAAGAGCAACAATTTGGGGGTAAAGATTATATATTAGAAGAAGCCATTACAGGTGATTTTGCTCTTGTAAAGGCTTGGAAAGCAGATAAATATGGAAATTTAATATTTAGAAAAAGTGCAAGAAACTTCAATCCAGCAATGTGTAGAGCTGCACGTATTACAATAGCCGAAGTGGAAGAAATAGTTGATGAAATTGAACCTGATTTTGTACATGTGCCCTCTATATATGTACATAGAATAATAAAAGGTGAAAATTATGAGAAAAGGATAGAAAGAAGAACTGTAACTAAACCAGTAATACAAAAGGAGAAGAAATCATCAGATATCCTAAGAGAAAGAATCATTAAAAGAGCAGCTTTGGAATTTAAAGATGGGATGCATGCTAATCTTGGAATAGGTATATTGTAATTTTTGTACTAGATATTACTTATTTATAACAAATTACATGACAGAATTTTTAATTTTTATCTAGTGAGAAATTAGATGCTTTTTTCTCCTAAATTCCAAGGCATTAAATGTGAAAGGTTTCCTATAAACTTATGAAGACGGAAATACAAGATGGTATCATCAGTCAAGTGAAGTAAAGAACATTTGCCTTTTGTATTTTATTTATATAAGATATTTAATTGTAATCTGTTCAGCGATTTTTGAATGAAACAGTACCAACATCCATTCATCTTTACAAACTTTCACATTTATAATATTATATAATAGGATATCTATAAACTGTAACTATAAATTTATTTTCAGGAATGCCTATGTTAGCTAGTAATTACATACCAAGAAATGTAAATGTACTGTTGCAATCAGAAAATGGAATTCTTGGTCTTGGACCTTTTCCATCAGAGGAAGAGGTGGATGCTGATCTTATTAATGCTGGAAAAGAAACTGTGACTGTACTCCCTGGTTAGAAATGAGTATAATATGTTTAATTAAATAAATTAAAATAAAGTAACAAATATATTTCTTGAAATAGAATTCCAATTTTTTTTTTATTTTTAATTGACTTCAAAAAGAAGGAGGTTTGCAATTCAATTGTATTTTTTTGTGTTTGTTACCTCATAACTCCATCAGTTCTTGATTTGATAGATTTGGAATTATTTTTTTTTATCTGAAAGGATATACTTACAGATTAATCTCATAGGAATTTTATCAAAATCGGTTCAGTTTGTTTAGTTTTTAAGTCAAGAAGATTTTGTCACAATTGAAGTCGGTTTTTTTTTGTAGGACACATTTTTTAATAATGCTTTCGTTATCTTTTTCAGGTGCGTCATTCTTTTCGTCCGATGATAGTTTTGCGATGATTCGTGGTGGGCATATTGATTTGACTATATTGGGAGCCATGCAGGTTTCTCAATATGGCGATTTAGCTAACTGGATGATACCTGTGAGTAATTTATGTTAAATATTATCTACGTGTAAGTAACACAGCATGCATGGATTAGTGAATACACAATGAGGAATTGTCTAGGTAGATATTATGTATATTATATTTTCATGCTATTTATTACTCAAATAATTATTTTGAACAGGGTAAAATGGTAAAAGGTATGGGTGGTGCCATGGACTTGGTATCAGCACCAAGAACAAAGGTTGTAGTCACTATGGAGCATGCGGCTAAAAATGGTGGCCATAAAATTGTACCTGAATGTACATTGCCGCTCACTGGGAAGAATTGTGTTGATATGATAATAACAGAGAAGGTAAGATAGTATAAAATTAATAGTCATTCTGGCTTTTTATATGTTATAAAAAAACTCATTGAGATAAGAGATTTTTATTTGTCATTTTTTATTGTAGTCATTTACAGTGGTAAATACGATAGGGTCACCACCTCTCACTTTTTAATGTAAGGGTTATCAGCATTAAAATAAGTATTATTTTGAAGGAGGATTATTTTATAATTTTTTAAATACTACATTAATATATACAATTGATTTATAATAATTTAATTTTCAGTGCGTTTTTGTAGTGGACAAGGAAAAAGGTCTTACGCTGACCGAACTGGCTGACGGTGTTACTGTAGAGGATGTGTTGGTGAGCACTGGCTGCGAATTTAATGTCGCACCGAAAATAAAGAAAATGGGCGATGTGACGCGTCCTGAGACGTTCATTGAATAAAATATACCACACAATATTAACTTGGTACTGATGTATTTAAAGCGCGAGTAATACTCATGGTGTTGCAAGTGCTTATGAGTTGCGAAGGCCGGAAGGTGTTACCATCAGGTAGACTGAATGCTTGATTGTCAATTACCTACGTTGTTTAAAAAATTTTCATAATCTCCACTACTATAATTAGGTATATTATTATTATATAGAAATTGTAATAAAAACAAAGAATTACAACCAAACGCTTATGCGATAAGATAAAGATTTTTAACGATATTACTAGTGACGTAAATTCATGAGTGAATCTTGGTTTATAACTATCGTATAATATTTTGGAGATTTATTGTTTCGACTAAAGATTGTAAAAAGGATGAACAGGCGATCATATATATAAATAAATTGAAGTGTGAATCGTGATATTTGTGAATAAGCGTTAATAATAATGATTCGTCAAAATGCGAATGAAGCTGAAAAAATAGTTAATTTTTAAATATAATGCTTATTATTTACTTAAATAATTAGTTATTAAGTAAGAAAATAAATATTACTTAAGATAAAAAAAAAAATGTTAACTTGTAAGTGTTCTGATTTAATTATATATTGTACAAAACTTTAATTATTAGATTAAGTTACTTATAAATATCATTTTATCGAATTTATTGCTCATTAAGTAGGTTATAAGCCCTATTGTCTATGATTTATTTGAAAATTGTAATATTATTACTGAAATATATTTTATTGTTTGTTACTGAATCTATATTTTACTTTATTACCTGTACATAAATGTTATAATTTGAACTGTTAATAATATGGTTTATTATTACTTTTTTCAGGACGACCATAGTAAGTTATTACTCTTTAGTTGTACTTTTCATTAGGATGAAGCACAGTGTTGGTACCTATTTATGACTATCTTAATTCAGAATCTCTAACTGCGCATTTATCACTTCATACAATATCTATTGTTGGCAATTTTTAATGAGACTTTTATATTAATTTCAATGACTAATATGGTTCATAAAGTCGTGACAATTATTTTCTAAAATCTATGGATTACTAAGGACAAACATGGCCGATTACCTATAAATTAGTTTGTTTTTCTATTCGATTTATCGTATTATCGTTAAGCAAATAATCATAAAATGGATAACCTGCATTATATTGGATTGTAATCTAGATCGATAATATAAATTTTATTCTTAGAAGTAGGTTGGAGTTCACATTCAAACTGATATACACAAAGATATTTAAATTTAGTAATTTACCGGAAATACTTATCTATGCTCTGATTTTTTTTTGTTTAAATTTGATTTTGATTTGATTATTAGTTACAAGTGACACATACCTATTTTCGATAAGAATTTTATTGTGTATTAAAGTTTAGAATGAAATGTGAGGGACAAAATCATCCATTCATTTTATGGGCTGCATGTTTTTTGTGGTTAATATCATTTTTTTCAATAACATGGTCGCTGCTGATGTTTTTTTGTAAGTTCACACACATATTAATTATTTAGATTGTTCCATTAGAATTTCTATAGCTTTAATGAAGGCCTTCGATATATATTTTTCTTAAATATTTCTTATGCACAGACATCGTCTAATTACAATTTTATTGTAATAGCAATATGCAAGATTTGTAGAGAAGTATATATTTATTTTTAACTAATAATTAATGATGATGTAATACATTTTTACCGCGTAGCAAAAACTATTTGCAATTATCCTTTATATCTGCGTATAAAAGCAAGCATTATTGCAATTAATTTTTACGATTTCTATGTAGTAATATAATTTTAACATGATTAAGTGACTGTTATATGCATGTCCTACCTACTTACTTATTTTAAAATTGATCACACATTTCTGTATTATGACTGTTTAATTTTTTTAGTTCTAGGAGACATGTTATGGATAACTGGCACAGATCTAGTCAACGCGTTTTTGCTGCTTTTGGGAATAATAATGCTTCCTACTAATGTTCACATATTGTATTCTATTGCTAATGGAAAGAAAATTGAGTGTAGTATTTATTTACCTATTATTTGTTTTTTAACCGATTCCAAAAATAAGGTTCTCAATTCGATTGTACTATTTTTTTTTTGTTTGTTACCTCATAACTTCGTCAGTTGTAAACTGATTGGAAAATTCTTTTTTATCTGAAAGGCTATACTTATAGATTGTCCCCATAGAAATTTTATCAAAATCGATTCGGAAGTAAACTACTAGTTATTACTAATTATTTTAATTTAAAAAATTAAGTTTCTAATTAAAAAATAACTGGTTTTGCTACTATTAAAGTCGGTTGTTTATGGAACACAGCCTAAAATTATTCAAGCATTTCGTTCACACAAGATACATATAACTTAAAATTAGTTCTCAAATAAATATATAACTATTCAGTATTAGTGGATATAAAATTACATTTAGTTCAGCTCTGACATAGGCGATAAAACTTTGTCATAGACATCCATCGACGTCGTACCTATTGCGACTACCTCATTACAGTTTTAACAATCTCAATTAGATAGTTATAAAACATCGATCTAGTTTTAATAAACTTAGTTCATAGTTCAAAAAGGTTTTAGTATTCGGTACTTACTTTTTACAACGCTCTCTTAATGTGTCGCTTATTCTGTGCCTTTGTAGGGCCAGCCATATACTTTAATTAAGTATTATCTTTCAGTCATAAAGCCAAAGTGGTCTGTTGTCCATTGTGGTTAAGTGTATTTTGGATCGTAATCATAGCCATTGCGGCTATAATTATATGCATCGATCGAATATACTCGTGTCAAGAAGCTACCTCAAAACACCTTAATATTAGCATGAAGAATTATAGAAGTTTCTTAAACTATAAAAAGTTTATGGATAACTTACAGTGGTCGTTAAAGTGCTGTGGGGTATGTATAGTGAGAGCTAGAAATATGTATATCCTTAGATTTGTACACTCGTACTCACTATAGGTATTTACCTAATAGAATTCATTTAGGTACTTATATTTTTCAACCCTTTTTAGGGTTCCGTATCTAAAAGGAAAAACGGAACCCTTATTAGTTTTTGTCCGTATATCTATCCGGCACTCATGAGGTATCGCGTGGAGATTCGAAGCTGAAATTAATATCAAATACTCAAGTCTGCATTCGTTTGAAGCTGTAAAATAGTAAAAATTTTAAGTTAACGCAATCAAAAGATCAAAAGATATCGTCGTTTATAGGATATGTTCTGACATTTGGAGGGGAATGAAAATCTGTAAGTTACTTCCCGTTGATATAGAATCATGGATTTTGGCAAGAAGCTTTTCATACAGTGCAAATAAAGGGGAAAATTAAAAAACAGAAAATTTGTAAAAAATATTTTTCAATTATAATTTGTACAGAACCCTCATTACTTGAGTCCGACTCGCTCTTGGCCGGTATTATAATTAGTACAATTAATTTATTCTGATGAGGGCACAATTGTGTTATAATGTATAGAAAATATTTTTTTCTTTAGTCCGTAGTGATAGGGTGGATAACGTGCCCACCCCAGAATCGTCTGGTTCCAATACAGAATGTAAGCAAAATTTTGCAGACATGTCTGAGAGAACATAGGTCTTTTTAATGGGCAGGCACATACTGCATCGTGGGGTATGTCCAATGCCAAAAAGTAAAGTTTTTATTAAAAAAATATTGTAGGTTACTATTATTAATAAATATACATTTCAGATAAACTCATATAAAGACTGGTTCAGTTATGATTGGTATGACCAAATGAGAGATTATGAATGGGATCCATCCCTATACAAGCGTAATAAGAAAGAACCATTGGTAACAGACAGCGTGCCTTTAAGGTACAATTAACAATCATATCTTAATATGTACATATTAACATTTTGCCTACTCCTACGTGTGGATTTTAGAAGTAGAAAAAATTAAATAGACCATTCCTAGATGGAGTATCAAGAACATGCATCAGATTTTAAATGAGGTCTTCGGAAATACAACTGTGAAAACCGCATCCAATTTGGCGTAGTAATTTTTGTGTAATATCGGAACAAATATACAGACAGACACACAAACTTTCTAAAAAATATTATTTTGGCAGACGCAAAATTAGTCTTATTAAGATCCTCATATTACTTATTCTTAAATATCTTCCATGTACAGACATCATTTACTTACGAGTACAATTTAATTATATTAGTAAGATATAAAAATTCCATACCATGGTATTCACACTAATCTCCGAATATACTCAATCGATGTTAATAATATTTTGTAAATATATATTGTTTCTTCCAATAGACGGTTGACATCAAGCAGCCGCTCGGTCATAAAATCAAAACCTTGTATACTTAGACTTGTATAATATGAGTTGAAATGTCATGATATTGTTTGCTCTAACTTGAGTTTTTATCCTGGAATGAAACATGGACACGATAGGTGGTGGTAGTGGTTTTTATTTTCTAATGGGGTGAGACTGGAAAGGTAAATCCGCTTGCGTTATCGGTATGTGATGGCGGATTACTGGTGAGTCAGGTCGGTCAACTCATCGTGGGCAATTCACTAGGAATTAATGACGTTGGTTTCCAGGGACGGCGTGGAAGTTAATCTAATAGGGTATATTGGGGGCAAGGCATTGGTATAATATGGAATTGTTATAAAGGGGTATACTGCTAACAATGAAGACTAAGATCCCCATCGATCTCTACGCGGTCCCCATTTTGCAATGGGGATAATTGTAGTTAATTTATATGAATTCAACATGATGGGCCAACTGACCTGTCTTCATCGTCATCGTTTCATCCTTCACTGGTGCTTTATCATTGTATGTCGTTAGCATAGGCGGATGCACCATTCCATTTTCATCTATTAAACAATAGGATAATTTGCTAGCAATGAGGATTAATTTACCTATTTCCTACATTACGAACATCTCCGCCCCTCCATGGAAAAGGCAGAATGACGTTTGTTGGGATAGCGAGTATATTATTTATTTATCCAGCCTCTTTAAACGAAGTACAATCGAATCTATTGATAGAATCGTTATCGCCTACGAGTTCAAGAGATAAAATGAGATGGCAATGTGCGCGCTGTCTTGTTTTTTCTCATACGAGCGCTGATCGACACGATTTTATTAATAGATTAGTTTATGCTTTGTTTAGGTGGGCTGTATCGCTAAGAAACAATATATTTTGTCGACTAGGTTATGTTACCGTAATGTTTTTTAATCGTAGTTGTTGCAAAAGTGGTTCCTGCATATCTAATTACTTATTGGAGCTGGGAACAAATTCAATCAATACAAAGGGTTGCGGAAAACGTTTACGTCGAGTTATAATGTTGTCAATGTCTGCATATTTAATAATTTTTATTTTAATAATAATAGTTGAGGTGAGTTGCCTATCTATTTAAATATACAATTTTTAGTTTAAAGGTATATAAAGTGATTATCTATGAATAAATATCGGTTATCCAATGACATCGCAATAGCTGTGTAGCTTCAATTTATTTGTCTACAAATTACAGAAAAAAAAACCTGCAGCTACTTAGTCCTCTCCCACAGACCTTTATTTACTTACTAGATATATATTTTGCCATTTGTACCATGAAGCGAGCTGTAAACTGACAGTTTGGCAGATTTTACTAGAGATAAATAAATGAGATTTTTGAGTAGATTTTTTTTTATCTACATCATTCTATAATGCAATATATTTGAAGGTGTAATCCGGAAATGCAAGGAATTTAATTCACAACTACAAAATTTTTTTAATGATAGGTACATAGAATTACTAATGTGGTGATGGCTTACTTGATGAAAAGTGGTAATCATTGTCTATAGACATGAATAAAATCGTGGTCATCACAGAATACACGAGGGGAAGTCAAAAAGTTCGCAGAATAAGGGGGGAGGGGTTGAAATTAAACATGAAACTATTTTTCCTTTTCAATATATTCTCTCTTAACCTTAATACATTTTTCGTATCCCTCAAATAATTTGTTTATACCATAAAAAAAGGTTTACCTTTCTTGTCCAAATAGGCCAAAATTGCAGACTTGACTTCTTCATCGTCGCCAAATTTTTTTCCACGTAGCTCCTTTTTCATTTTTGGTAATAAATAATAGTCGCTGGGGGCCAAGTTTGGACTATGAGATGGGTGATCTAATTTTTCAAACCCGCATCGGAGGATGGCAGCCGTCGCAACATTACACGTGTGAACGGGAGCGTTGTCGTCCAAAAGGAGCACACCTTTTGACAGTTTTCCTCTTCTTTTTTCTTTGATAGCTTCGTTCAATCTGTCCAAAGAAGCGTGGTACTGTCTCGTTACTGTCACACCACGATCTTTATAATCGATCAGCAAAATACGTTCTGTATCCCAAAAGATACTGGACTTTGTACAAAAGTCGTTTGCTTGGATACCTTTGTCCCATTCGTGTTTCAAACGAAAAGCAGTTGTGTTTGCATGGCTGTGTTTCGTTTGAAGGGTGGGACATGGCGTGAATTTACAGGGTACAGAGGAATAACATCCGAGTCCTCAGGAATGGCAACGCATGGGGGGTATCATGGGCAAAACAGTAAACTCTGTTATGTCCATGGTACTGCTCATGTCTGTAGGCAACGGTTACCACTTTCCATCAGGTGTGCCGTCAGCTTGTTGTATAAAAAAAAAATAATCGCCATGATCTTTCCGGCTGATTGTGACCCATTAAACTTCTTCGGAGGAGCTGTACTTTTTATTATGCCACTGCATCGACTCTTGCTTCGACTTAGATTCATAGTGGTGAACCCAGGTTGCATCTCCAGTAACAATTCGGGCTATAACTTCTTCCCTACTCTCTCCACACAGCTCCAAAAACTGGCGAGAACACTCGACACACTCACTTTTTTGAAGTGGAGTGAGCATTCTAGGAACCCATCTTGCATTGACCTTAGTCATGCCAAGATGATGATGTAGAATATTTAAAATACTTGTTTCGGGTACTCCAACCATTGCTGCAAGCTGCTTCTTCTTCAGCCGGGTATCCTCTAATACAAGTTTTTCTACTTTTGCGACGATTTCCGGTGTGGTGGCCTTAATCGGCCGTCCGGAGTGAGGGTCATCTTCAATGACTCTTTTCCTTATTTGAAAAGACCATGCCACTTGTAAAACAGTCTTACCAAGGGTAGAGTACGCGTAAACTGCTAACAGCTCTTGAAAAATCGTCTGAGCAGATTTTTCTTGCTTGGTGAGGAACTTAATAATGACGCGGTGTTCAATTTTCTCCATATTTGCTGACTTCTTCCCGATTCACTTGTTTGCAGGTTGATAACTCAAAAGTTAATGACTCGATTTGGTTCAAACTTGGTATATATACTTTCAATGTGGTGCTTAACAAGCGACTACTTGGACAAGTAAATCAACCCCCACCAACCCCTCCATTCCGCGAACTTTTTGACCGCCTCTCATAGTGTGACGCACAGGGTATATTTCATGTATCCCTATTTCAGAGGACTGGTGTTATGCTCCCGTGCTCATTATTCCTTAAAGTTACTATTTTACATATAGTACATAGCTTAGGTTATGAACGTAAGTACAGTAGACTGAGACTATGTTAGGTACCTATTCACATAGGCTAGTAAGGCATGTGCTAAAAATAATATTTTTAATCTATTATTTATTCTTTTAGCTTTTGATTGTAAGATTTTTAATCAAACAGAATAATTATTGTGGAAATCAGCGATCTGGTAAAAAAACAGAAGTTAGGCACATAATGTCTGTAAACGATAAATTTCATGTATCCAGCGCTTCATGTCAATTAGATCCTGAAGAAAGTGACGATGAAGAGGCATCAAGGAATACTGAAGTAGAAAATTTGAAAATGGACATGTTCAAATAAAAAGTAGACAACTCTGCTTAGGTAAATAATGTTTTCTAGATTTTTTCACTAAAACAGTTAAATTGCTTTATATCCTATTAATTGTTTACTGAGTCTATAATTGTCACAGTGCATCACATTTGAGTGTAATGTTCTTTGTGTTTTATTATATAATAAGAATATACGTTTAGCATATGTGGCAAACGTATGTGTATTTTTATTTATTTTATAGCCAGATCGTATTCGATTATATTGTATAATCGAATACGATCTGGCTTTTCATTTAGTTTGTCACTTAACAATCGATACTTAACGATTTTTAGGCCACTCTTCACTTCACTATCTTTAGTAAGAACTGTCAGTCAATTGAATGAAGTCAATTATGTTTTTCCTCTGTGTCAAATAATCTTTGGTTTCGAATTCTATTATATATACGGTTGCTTATTAGTGTTTTGTTCATTTATTTAGGTAGTTTTACATAATATTTTATTCTTATTTTTTTTTAATCTCTCATAAAGCAAGATTAGAGAACTTCTAATACTTTATATTTTTGCTATATATATCTAACCTATAAATTATTTTCAGATAAAGAACCATGGTATTTTTATCAGTGGTGAATTGGGTGAGAAGCCGAGGCCCAGATGAATTTTGGAGAAAAAGGAAAATTTTTCGTTTAGCAGCGCACTATATAGGTCGCCGAAGAAATTGTTACTCAATAGCTGTTAGAAATGTTCACAGAGCTTTGGTTTATGCAACAAAAGCAAGAAAACTGAAAAAAGCAGATATGAAAGTTTTATGGGAGACTCGAATCACAGCTGCTTGTGAGCAGCATAATATCACATATTTTACTCTTAAGGAGGGTTTAGATCGAGCAAACATAATGCTGGACCGTAAGTCATTATCAGACTTAGCATCTTGGGAACCACACACATTTGAATGTTTAGCAGCAGTAGCGAAGCAGAAACTAAGTTATGATGGCTTTATAGATACTACAGATAAGAATACACCTACTGGTGTTAACTTGAACCTCAAAGATGTGATGTTAGATGTATGGCTAAAGGAAAACAAAAAATAATGTCTATGTTTTTAACAAATTGTTTTTAATAGTTTATATTTAATAAATAGTCTATGCCTAGTAAATTTTTAAGTCTATGAATTTTCCATTTCCTTCTTTATTTGTTTTGTTAGGTCATTCTGTTTTTGTAACAAGTAGAGGTTTTCAATTTTCCTTCGTTGCTGCCGTTCAATGTCTCTAACAACCCCTTCATGCATTTTCTCTCTAAAAATAAAAGTGTTGATTAATTTCATATACCTGTTTAACAATATTCCTAATACTTTATTATTGACATTGATATTCAATATTATAACTACAGAGAACGTTTCTTATCAAGGACTTTAATATATACTTTCATTATTAAATGGATACAAGCAATAAAAAGACAAAAAAGTTTATATACCAGTTTGTTCAAAAATAAGATTAGATATTTATGACTTTAGTAGTCATTACCAAAATTATAAATGTGAAAGTGATTAAGTTTGTTTTAGCGCTTTAACAGTATGACAAATCACTATGAAATTTGGTATACCCATACTGCAAGGTAAGTATATAGTCTACTTTTTATCCTAGTCAGTAAATATAGTGCTGATATTTTTGTAGTAGTGCCCATGAAAATAAGTGCTGCTTCCAAGCTACACACACTAATGGATCATTATAGTCTGTTTTAATAAAATTTTATGAAAGTGTAAACAAACAATCTGACCATATGACAATATGCTGATGTCAATCAAAAATCAATTGATTAAATATTTTTGTTTCTAAGTTCATTTAGTGTTTCTGATAATTTTGGACTATAAGTGGTAACCATTGATATGGACTGTCATTCTTGATTTTCTGAATAGTGTAGACAAAATGTTGGACAGGTTCACTGTGTCCGAATCACTATGAAGACCCATAACCAGTAATTTTACTGCTATACCTTAACTGTCTTCAATTGATAGCAATGCAACCATAGTTGCTTTAGCTGTGGTGGTAAATGAACACTCAATATAGTCCATACGACTCAAGGGCAAGTCATTACTATCTATATTATAAATATTTATACCTTAGTAACTCTCTAGACTAGAGACATGAGTGGGGTAAGTAGTGGAGGTTTTCATGAAGACGATTATTAATTATATTTATATATATAATTTCCATTTACCTGTCTGTTTGTTGTTTCACATGTACGTAAGTAACGATCCCTAACGTTAAAGCACAAGACAATCCTAAGACAAGTTTAGAAGCTGGAGATGACATAATTATTACGTATTTCTATCGTAGCATAATTTTCTTTAAACTTTCAGTTCTTGATTTTCTGCAGGAAAAATGGTAGCGATACTATGTGTACTTATAAAAGTAGTATTATTTATTAAATTATTATTAGATAGACCTATAAGTAGGTAAATTAATTGAGTAAATAAAATAACACCACAGATTAGATTCTAAAGAAATAACACAGAGTAAGAAATTACTATGTTATACGAGTTGGCAGTGACCTTATAATGTAAAACTAGAAAAATGAAATGCATGTTACCTTTGCGAACTAATAGTACAATGAAATAAATGAATATTGTGATAATACTTTTTGATTTGTCTAAAATTAAAAAGAGGTGTGACACCTATTGCGAGTATTGCCTAGCAATTGTTGACCGTCGTTTATTAATATAGTATAATTCCTTATAATTAATTTTCAATTCATATCGATAAAAAGTAGAGCGAATAGTACAATGCTACCATTAGTATTAATTGTAGAAATTAATTAAAATTGATAATATAGCATAGAAAATAGCTCCGTTACTAAATGAACGAGTAAATTAATTAATTAGATAATACACTTAACTATATTAATTTTATTGTTAATTCACTAATTAAAATTTATTAAAAATTGTGCTAAAAATGTGGCTTGTTCTCTATATTAAATTACATTGGTATAGAGAACAATTATAAAATATTAATTTATTAAAACACATATAAGTTATTTTAATATTTAAAAATAGTTATTTATAGGTGAAGTACTGTTTGGAAATTATGTGAAGTTATGGAGTCTATTCAAGATGGCTATGATCCGCCATATTCAAGCATAATTTGTTAATATTAGCTAAGGACGGTAACATAGCTTCATACAAAAACGTCGTTATTCAAATAGTCGCAGGCTTGGCAAGTAACGGAAAAAGACAGATGACGGAATTGAGTGAAATTAGCCCCTGAAACAATCATACGTAGTGGTTTAATCTGTGAAAAAGAGCTCAATCAACGTAGTCGAGCCAAAGCTTTATTTATTACTAGCTGTTCCCTGCGACTTTGTCCGCGTTTCCGTCGTTTTTCGTAAAATAAGTAGCATATGTCCTTTCTCACAGTTCAGTGGTTTTGATGTAACAGACACATTTCCCTTCACTGCTTTGCTCCTATTGATCGTAGCGTGATGAAAAGTATACTATAACTCGCCCAGAATGTATGTAGTATACGAAACTTGGTACAAGTATGATGAATAATTGTACCAAGTTTCGTTAAAATCCGTCGAGTAGTTTTTGTTTCTATAACGAACATACAGACAGACAAAAAATTTACTTATTGCTTTTTTGGCATCAGTATCGATCACTAATTGCCCCCTGATAGTTATTTTGGAAATATATTTCATGTACAGAATTGACCTCTCTACAGATTTATTATAAGTATAGATATAAATAGATAAAGGCCATTTCTTTCTCAAGCAAAGGACTAATTGTATAGTATGCAGACATATGCTTTTTCGTATATTATCGGGATTTTGGTGTAAAATGACATAAATGATATATATCACATTAAAATCTTACAATACACAATTCTTATTTGAAACATTTATTTGTACGACCTCTATGTATTTGTTATGGACCACGTGATAAAATGGTTATTATGAATAATGCCCGGGTATTATGAAAAATAAGCTACATGAGATGACAATTTGATAATAACTATTCAAATAATTTTATTGTCCGGGCATTATACATGCAATATCCGTCACATATGGGACAGAGTAATAAAAAACATGTTTTATTATTACATAAAAACTTAAATACATCTATAATAATCCTAAACCTAACTTAAAACGTCATAACATCAAATCTTCGCAAATGCTGATAATGTTCTAGTTTTTTTATGTTTTTTTTTGAATTTGTAGATTTAACTTTTTCGTGTGGTGAAAAACTGAGTATTTTGTCCTTTTAGTGATAAATAATTCATTCAATCTTTCGTCAAATCGACGATTCATGTCATTCAATTTTGATATATCCATGATTATTTACATAAACAAACATCAATAACTGTTTTACACGTTATCGTTGCGGTCTCTGATTGGTCAAATCGTGTCACGCGATATTCAATGTTCACGTAGCAATATTCATAATGACCAGAAAATGTGATAAATAATAAAATTTTAATTATAATTAATTAGTTGGTCCGATATAGCTAGCCATTATTCACAAAACCACAGCAGTATGGATATCATGTAGGTTCTCTTCATATATATCTGAGCAATTTTCTGATGGGTATGGTGGGATAAAATTTTCTAAAGGTAAGGCAACTTATCTCTCTGCTAGAGTATTTCTACAGTATAATTAGAGGAATTAAGTACAATGCGGTTATGTTGAATCTTATAAGCATGTCTGTACCAGTACTGGATAAGCGTGACCGTAATCACGGAATGTTCGCGTTACCACGCAACAGGACATTCTATGCTGATCAGGCGCCACTCACGAAGGCGCTACGTCTGCTTTATGAGGTAGTAGCGAGTTCTGAACTGGACTTTTTTCACTGTACCGCCAGAGTTTCGCAGTGCGGTAACAAATTACGTAGAAAGGCATTTTTAATGTTTATTTTTTTAAATATAATTAGATTTTTTTTTTATTATTATTATTCCATTATTGTATTATTATAATGTTCGATTTTTTAGTTTTTGCTGAGTGCATTGGTAAATCTGTAAAGCTCATCAGAAATATGTATATATATTATAAATAAATAAAGGCCGGGAATTTTCTATAATGCCCACATTAATCACTTGGTCCATAACATATGTACATCCTGTTCCATTTAAATAAAAACAAATTTTTGATATTAATTTTTTTATCTATTAAGTTTGTTCCGGTTGCTTGTGTTGTGTCTTTTATATCTATTATTATTATTATCTATTATTATTATATATATTATAATTTTTATTGTATTCTTGTATCTTGTTATCTACTCTTCAAATTTATTTATTACTTCTACTTTATCATTGTAAATAAATTCTATCGCGATTAGAGAGGAATTCAAAATTGTAATAATTAGATATCAATAAAAAAATATTAATTAAATTCTTTGTCTGTCTATGTTTGTTCAGACAGCAAAATGTACTGCACTAAATTTGATGCGGTTTTCACACTTGTTTCTGAAGGTCTAACTTATAATGCTAATTAAATATTTCTTACCAATTTATGGATTAAGTTGGTATAGGAAACTCAAATAATTTTGTACTTTTAAAGTTTCTGATTCACAATATTTCTGTCTTATAATATTTTATAGCGTGGGTATATAATATTTCATAACATTTTTAATTTAATGTTCTGGTAACGATTTAGATTTCACCTTCTATACTTATATACATTCAGTATTCTATTATCTATAAATAGGTACAGTGCATCTCATGCAGTCGATGACGGGCGTACTTATATATCGTTTCATATATCTACGTTTTCTATTTGTCTCTGAGGACTGATGATTTGGTAAAAAAAGGATAGGCTTGATACAAAACGATATAGACCATAGGGAAATATTGGTTTAATTCAACTAAAAATAACGATACATTGGTATTATTACAGACAATAGTAGTTAGAAAAGGAATGTCACAATCTTAAGTCAATAATAGAAAAACAAACCAGTATTTGTAAAGAGTTTCGTATACTACATTCACCCATCCTTTTTAAAAAAAACCTAAGTTATTATAATTCATAATCCCCTAAATAAGCGGGTGGTCTTCTTTCACGAATAAGCCGCTGAGACGAATCGACCACCATTGAAGGCCC